TTAGTCTACCTTGGGTCAGGAGCCCACTCACTGACCAATCACTGTGGCTGGGTCGAGAGAAGAACTTATAAGAAGATGGCAGAACCTATTCACACTTAAAATGAAGAAGTGGTGAAAGTGAAATAATTCTCCCAAACAAGAGAAGAAAGAGAACCTCCATTAGATATTTATTGCTGCTAAGAAATTACCCCAAACTCAGGGGCTTAAACGACAAATGTTTACTACCAAAGAGGTTCTGTAGCCAGGAAACTGGGTGTGGCTTAATTGGATGTCTCTGACTCAAATCTTGTCTGTCATGAGGCAGTCAAGGTGTTGGTCAGGATACAGTTATCTTAAGGCTCAGTGGGAGTGGACCTGCCTCCAACCTCATTCACAGGTTGCCAGCTAGAGGCACTGGCCCTTAGTCAGTAAGTTGTGGCCAGTTCTTAGTTGCTCTGGAAAGACTCGTAGACATAGATCCTTCCGCAGGGCAGCTCACAATATGGCATCTGGTTTTACTCAGAGCAAGGGAGTGAAAGAGGATGCCCAAACATAAGCTAAAGCCTTTTTGTAACCTAATCTCCAAGGTGACATTATTCTATTTTTGCTGTATTCTGTTTGTTTGAAGTGAACTGCAAGGTCCAGCCCATATTCAAGGGGAGGGGACATGACGACCAGAAGGTGGAGATCACCAGGGACCACTTTACAGGCTGCCTCCCACAGGTTCTGAGCCCATAATATGGTAAAGCACCACTAGGCTGAACAGTGACATGCTGAATCTAAAAAGTAGCAATTATAGTCTAACACAAACAAGCTGAGTCTGTAGAAAAACCTTGAGATTCTCATGATAGTGAAATGAAGATGTTAATATAAAATGTGCCAACAGGTGATAATAAAGCATATCAAAAGTTTTAAAATGCTATCATTTTAAATATAAAACAGATACAAAATATTTATAAAATATATGTAAGATACAGAGAATGTAATAAAGGTATGTGATCACAACACACCAGAAAAAGGGGATGGCCCTTAATTTTGAAGTTTCCAACACCACCCCCTTCTCTCCCTCTCCAGAAGTCACCATCATCTTGAATTTTGTGGTCGTGATCACTTGCTTTTCTTTATAGTCTTACCACAGATGTTTGTATTCCTACACAAGGTATTGCTTGATTTTCCCTGCTTTCGACTTCATGTAAGTGGAATCATACTGTATATATTTCTCTGTGATTTGCTTCTTTCACTCACAATTATGTTTCTGAGATTTATCCATTTGATGTGTTCATACTGATATTTTCAATTTGATCCAAAGTCACTAAGTCTTCATGCATTACTCTAATCCAAGAGCAACTCAATTTTATCATTTAAGTCACCGATTTCCCTTCACTTTTATAAACAACACTGCAGGGCCATACTACAACTCATCTATATATATATATATATCGATGGACATTTGCGTTAGTTCCTTATTTTTGCTGCATAAATAGTGCTGCTATGAACATCACTGAATTATTCTGGGTACTCTTCTCCACAAAGTTCTCCACGGGATAAACCTGAATATGGAACTGCTAGATCAAAGGTATATGAATGTTCAGCTTTAAGAGATAATGTCAAATTAATTTCCAAAGTGGTTGTAGTAACTTATACTCCTATCAGCAGTGAATAAATGTTCCAGTTGTTTCAAATCCCTTCCAATACTTGCTATTGTCTATCTTTTAAGGTTTTTTTTTTTTTTTGCCAATCTGGAAAGTATTAAATGAAATTTCATTAAGGCTTTGATTTGCATTTCAAATATGAGTTGCAATATTTTTTTATGACATTGGCAAGTGCAATTGGTGATCAAATGAGACTCTGAACTCTACGTGCAAGTTTCAGCCATTATCCACATAATTATTTACAAGCTCTTGTTCTCTTAACTGATCATCATACCTGTGAACATTCTTTAATTAAAGTTAAATGCAGGACTTCCCTGGTGGTCCAGTGGTTAAAAGTCTGCCTTGCAATGCAGGGAAAACCGGTTCAATCCCTGCTCTGGGAAGATCCCACATGCCACAGCTTGCTAAGTCTGGGAGTTGCTGATACTGAGCTCACGCTCCGCTTGCTACTGAAGCCCGAGTGCCCTAGAGCTGGTGTTCGACAAGGAGAAGCCACTGAAACGAGAAGTCCACGCATAGCAATGAAGACTCAGTGCAGCCAAAAATAACAAATAAATTTAAAAGAAAAGTTAAATGCAAAGAATCGAGATTTGTAATAATAACTTAGTGTAATGCTTATTTTGCAAGGTGGGATAAGGCACAGACAAATGATGACTGAAGAAAATAATTTTCCTGGGCATTGTTCCCCTCTTGTATATGTTTTGACACATTATGTGAAGGTGGATATAAGGAGAAAAGTGAGTCATGAACATTTAGTTTATACATTATCTCTGCTGCCCTAAAATGGGTATACAAGCAAAAAACGAGTAGACCATTGGAGCCTGAACACATCTTGTTCCTGGTAAAGACCCAAGAAGATGGTGGTGCTTTTAAAGTCTTAAATAGAATTTGCATACTCAGAGATTTACAGTGAAGTGTTGATAAGGAGTTACTTACCTTAGATATTACTCTGCGTTCAACAGTGGATCATAAACATGCTGAACTTGAGACCGATTAAAATGCTAAGCTTAGTGAGGCCATATCCTGATTGGACAGTACCCAAGAAACATGTCAGGCTTTCTGGATAGATCAGCTGGTAAAGAATCCACCTGCAATGTGGGAGACCTGGGTTTGATCCCTGGGTTGGGAAGATCCTCTGGAGAAGGGAAAGGCTATCCACTCCAGTATTCTGGCCTGGAGGATTCCATGGACTCTATAGTGAATGGGGTCGCAAGGAGTCGGACACGACTGAGTGACTTTCATTTTCACTTTCTTCCAAGAAACATGTTCCTGGAGGAGTCAGAGTTCAAAGCAAAATGCAGAGGGGCAAGAAATAAAGTGATTTGATTTCAGGTGAGCTGACATCCGTCTGTTCGTGGAGGCAGTGCTGAAGAAACAGTACCTGCCAGGAACTTGGATTAATTCTAACTCTCAGCCTGGCCCCGGGGTGGCTGGGTGAGCCTGACTTGAGATGCAAGTGAGCAGTGACAGAAGACAGTGGACAGGGGTTCTCCTGAGGTTGCACTTCAAGCTGTCTTTTGTCAAAATTAGCACAGGAAGCAGATCAAGATGGCTTCTATGCATGTGTCATCTGAGTGTAAAATTACATGTTTGAGAAACCATTCCCAGGTGGCGCTAGTGGTAAGAATCCGGCCTGCCAATGCAGATAGACTTGGGACGGGTTAGATCCGTGGGTCGGGAAGATTCCCTGGAGGAGGGAACGGCAACCCACTCCAGGTTTCTCCCCTGGATAATCCCATGGACATGGACAGAGGAGCCTGGCCGGCTGTAGTCCATAGGGTCGCACAGAGTCGGACACAAGGACACAACAGAAGCGACTTAGCGCCCACAGCACATTAGCACAGTCATAAAAAACTTAAGCATGGTCCTACTTTTTCACCATGTAATCCCAACCTGGAATCTGCCTATTCAATTGGGTTGAACGTGAAAGTGAAGTCGCTCAGTCGTGTCCGACTCTTTGCGACCCCGTGGACTGTAGCCCACCAGGCTCCTCTGTCCGTGGGATTCTCCAGGCAAGAATACTGGGGTGGGTTGCCATTTCCTTCTCCAGGGGATTTTCCCGACCCAGGGATCGAACCCAGGTCTCTCGCACTGCAGGCAGACGCTTTAACCTCTGAGCCACCAGGGATTCAATTGGATTAGTGTGGCTGAAATAAATCTATTCGGATGATCTTAAGAAACACCTGGAGACTACAGACACATAAACCAGGGAAAGTCTAAACATCCTGGCTTGGGGAAGCGTAGACCTGGGAACTCTAAAGCAGCGGTATCTCAATGTGCTACGCCTACTCGTAGTGTTCGGTTATTCTCCTTCTCTGTTCTAATTTTCTTCACCACTTGATTCCGGCTTATTTAGTTTCTACAGCCAAAACCATCTGCCAAACCTATCGCTTACTTGGCTCTCAGTATTTCCTTGTTAGAAACTCTCCAAGAGGGAATCTAATTGGTCAGATTTAGCTTTACAAACTGGACAAGGGTCTTGGGCCCGTCCGTAGATTGGCTGCGCTTGGATCAGATGTCTTTCCGTGGCCCAATCAGCTGGGGCTGAGAGGGGACAGCCCGCCCACAGCCGCTCGGTGCGGAGTCCAGGGGTGGGGTCAGTTTTCCTTACAAAGGACTTTGAACTTTGTACCTACAAGAGCAACCTGAGAAAACGATTCAGAGATGGAACCAAAAGGTGCATTAAAGAGCTTTTATAGCACGCACACGCGCGCGCGCACACACACACACACACACACACACACTTTGAAACCCTTGTAAGCATGGTCAGTTCTAGGCTGTTCAGGTGTGGAATGAGCAGCTAATTCAAGGTTTTCTCTGGGAAAATGAAATAATATGCCATAAGACCTCATATACACTGTGATCAGGGTTTTCTAAGACAAGACTGCACGTGTTTAGTTTTTGCCCTGTGCAGGAAAGTTAACGGGTGAGTGGTGTGGCACATGGCATTCAAAAGTTCTTTAATGAACAGATACTCTGGTTATAATGAAGGTAAACACCAAGCGTTTGTTAGCATCCACGTTCCTTCACCCTAACTGGGCCCGCGCCCCCTCCCCGTGCCTTCCTCTCCCGTCCGGAAAAGTGCACTTTCCTGGCAGGTCCGCGGCTCTTACCACCCACGGGTCTCCCAGCCCGAGAGGGCCGGCACCCAGCTCGCGGCGCCAGCGCGCCCCCACGCGGCCGGGCCGGGTTCCTCCACCACTTCCGAGTCCTCCACCCTCCGCCCCGCCCCGCCCCCCAAGTGCGGTCCTCCGGCCTTTTCCCCGGCCCTGCACGCCGTTCGGACCCTCTAGTCCCCCGCTATACCCTGCCTGTGGTTGCAGGCTTCCAGACGCGGAGACTCCGCCCCGCGCGCGCTCTCGAGTAGCCATGGCTCCACTCCGCTTCTCGGCCAACCTGTCGTGGTTGTTCCCGGAGCTCTCGGGCTTTCCCGCGCGCTTCCGGGCCGCGGGCAGTTCGGGCTTCGAAGCGGCCGAGATCGGCTGGCCGTATGCGGAGCCGCCGGAGGCGCTGGCGCGCGCGGCGCGGGAAGCCGGGCTACAAGTCGTGCTAATCAACATGCCCCCGGGTGCGCCGGGAGGGCCGGGGCCGGGACAGGGTGGGGCCGGGGGGGAGGGAGCAGGGAGCTGAGGCCTATTCTTTCCGCAGGAGACAGAGAGAAGGGGGAGAATGGGCTGGGGGCTGTTCCCGGGAGGCAGGCGGCCTTCCGAGAAGGGCTGGAGCAGGCGGTGCTGTACGCTAAAGCTCTGGGCTGTTCCAGGTAACCTCCCCTCTCCACTCCCCCGCCCCCATAATCCGCGAGAGGAGGCTCAGGGGTAGTGCCGTCTCTGCCTCTTCAGTCCTGGTCCCTTGTAAATCGCCTTTTGCATTTCATCTGTGTGTATGTCACTCAATTTGCAACTCTTTCTTGCTCACCTCATGCTGGGAACTCAGTATGATCTGGGACATAACAGAGTCAACAAAGCAGTGGTCCATTAAGAGGACTGGTCAGTTCAAGGAGACTCTGGGAGCAGAGTGGGTACTAACTCGGTCTGGGATCAGAGAAAGCTTCTTAACAGGTAGTGATGTAGAACTGGGTTTCAGTGGTGGGTACTTGCTTGACCAAAGGAGCATTCCAGGCAGGGATGCAGTAGCCTCATGCCCCGGGGGCTTGGTGTATTCCACAGAGTTTATGAGGCTGGAGGTGAAGCCTATCTGCTTTGGAGGTGGCTGAGAAAGATGAGGCGGTGAAGGGAGAAGGTGGGGGACTCAGAGTGGGGCTGATCAAGGTAAATGTCAAATCCTGCACAGGGCAACCAGGCTGAGAAGGAACTGGCAACAAGCAGTTATGGGGCAGAGGGAGGAAACAGATGCAGAAAACAGATGGGAAGAAGCTAAGAAACAGATGCAAGGAGGAGAGGCAAGCAGCATGGAATACCTGAGCATAAGGGTCAAAGTAATTTTTTAAAGGTGAGGCCTGAGGAGAAGGGCCATGGAAACAGAAGAATCTGGATGCACAGGAGGGGCTGAGTGAGGACCTGTGGTCTCTGAAGCAGGAGGATGGTGGGCCTTCAGAAGGAATCTGGGAAAGGTCTTGGTCTTACATTGACATAAGTGTTTGAGGGCGCCGGGAGGCCTGAGCACCATAGCCAGGTGGTCCCGACTGGAGACCTGGGGAGATGGGAGGCTGGTGCAGTGGGAGGAAGTGAAGTGCCCAGGGAGTGTGGGAGTGAAGGCTTTTTCGCTGAGGATGGACTCCACAGCCCCCTCCAGCCCCATTTTCCCCACAGGATTCACCTGATGGCTGGCCGAGTGCCCAAGGGGGCTGACAGAGCCGCGGTCAGGGGTGAAATGGAGACAGTTTTCCTGGAGAACCTCAGGCATGCAGCTGAGGTTTTGGCTCAGGTGAGACAGTGAAAGGGGCTTCCTAGATGTCACAGTGGTAAAGAATCTGCCTACCAATGCAGGAGACGTGGGTTTGATCCTTGGGTCAGGAAGGTCGTCTGGAGGAGGAAATGGCAACCCACTCCAGTATTCTGGCCTGGGAAATCCCATGGACAGAGGAGGCTGGCGGGCTACAGTCCATGAGGTCTCAAAGTTGGACTCGGTTGAGCATGCACACAACAGTGAAAACACATACAGACACACATACTTCATGCATATATGTATGTGGAGGGGAAGCACAGTAGGGGCGGCTCTACTCATGGATCTGGCCTGTTGCCAGGAGAACCTCGTGGGACTGCTGGAGCCCGTAAACACCCGCATCACGGATCCCCGGTACTTCCTGGACACGCCCCAGCAGGGTAGGCCCCCAGCCCCCTGCCGCCTCCTGTCCATTGATTCTCGAGCCCTCCTTGAGTCTCATGACCCCCGTCCCTGGTTTCTCTCCCAGCGGCAGCCATCTTACAGAAGGTGGGAAGACCCAACCTCCAGCTACAGATGGTAAGTGGGGGAGAGGGCGCGCTTTTCAGAGGGCCCGTGTTCTCCAAATCCGGGGACAGTGGTGCGGGCTGCAGAGTCTCTGACGGTGGGAATCTCTGCCCCAGGACTTATTCCACTGGCAGATCATGGACGGGAACCTGACGGGGAACGTGCGTGAGTTCCTGCCCATTGTTGGTGAGGCCCCTTTCTTGGCTTCTTCCTGGTCTGCCATGAGGTCTCCTCTGTCCTTCCACTCTTCCCACCCCCTGCATCTACCCCCAGGGCACGTGCAGGTGGCACAGGTCCCAGATCGGGGGGAACCCGACAGCCCCGGAGAGCTCAACTTCTCGTATCTGTTCCAACTGCTGGAAGATGAAGGCTACACAGGCTTCGTGGGCTGCGAGTACCAGCCTCGAGGTGAGGGTGGGCTGAGCCTGGTCCCTGGAGGGACAGTGTCGGACAGGGGCTGTCTTCCTCCTCATGGGCTGAGATGCCTCGCACCCTGCTCCCCTCAGGAGACACAGTAGAGGGCCTGAGTTGGCTGCGTTCATACTGGGAGATGAGGGGCCGCCTGCAGGCTGGCCAGTGAGGTCCTGCGCTCCAGCCACACGCCTCTGGGACGGTGAGCAGCACCACTGAGTCTCCTAATAAAGACAACCCACTGAACGTTTCCACGTGTGTGTGTTATTGGAGGGGGGGGAGGACACACAGTGTCTGACTTTTCAGTTTCTTTGGGTCGCTTCCTTCCTGCAGAGAAGGGCCATACAGCTCACGTTCAGGTCCTCCAGTCTGCCGGGCTGCTGTGTGCGTGCTCCTTTTGTACAGACAAACCAAGGGTACGACGGCCAAGGGACTTGCCCATGGCCACAGCTGCTCCAGAAGCAGAGCTGGGATTCGAACGGAGGTGTCTTATCTCAATGGCAGTTGTCTGGCAGTGACATTCCAGTGGGAACTGATGACCAGAGGGCTCATGATGGGGGTGGGGGAGGTGGGTGTCAGACAGGATTCAGGCAGAGCAGCTCTAAGGGGTCTACCTGCCACCTGATATGAAGAATTCCCAGACTCAGCCAGGTGAGCAGAAAAGAGGAGTCTCCTTCTGGAAGGGCCTGGGGACCTTAGAGGACATGGGCACCTCAGGAGGTGAGCGGACCCTCTGGAGCTCTGCGCTGCTCACTGGCAGCAAGTGTTTAGGGAGCGTAGCTCCTGCTACCAGGCCCCCAAGACACATTCACATGACCTCTGACATCCCTCAGTGTCCAATCTTGCCCAGGGACCTGGAAGGGCTGGTCTAAGATTTCAAGTGGGCAACCTTCCAGAGCCATGATTCGAGGACATTCAGTGGCCTGTCCCTCAGAGGAGGCGGGTCCAGAGGGTGAAGCAGGCTGTGTTGATGACAGACTCCAGGTGGTGGTAGGTGGAGACCAGCTGGGCGGGGGGGCTCTCGCTGTCCTGGGGCTGCACGGGGAAGGGCTCTCGGAAAACCACCGTCAGAGACTAAGGAACAGGGTGGGTGCAGTGGTGAGAGGCAGGCAGGCTAGGCCCAGGAAGCAGGGCTCCCCAACCTCAGCAGGCTCTGGGGTGGAGCATTTGGGGTACAGCCTCCCACTGGGGCTGACACAAAGCCCCTCAACAACCCCCCACCCCTGTTCTCACCGTCTTTCCCAAGTGGGAGTCCAGAAACACTAGCACAAAACAGTCCGTGAACTTCTGATTCAGCACAACCTAGAGCCAAAGACACAATGAGATGATCAGTGAGGGAGAGACTCTCCATGAGGGCATCCTGGAGGTGGGACCAGCCTGAGGAAGGCCGGCTTTCATTACCACCTGACCCCGCCCGCGCTGCAACCTTGCTCCTCATCCTCACTAGCTCCCAGTCAGCCTGTCTGGCGACGTCAGGATGAGGCGGGTGGTCCTTGACCGGAAGGCCCTGCACAAGCGGGCATCACCATCTGAAGCCCAGCAACAGAGGGGGGCTCTCTCCGCTCAACGAGAGCCTTCCCTGCCTCCTGGGTTTTGTGTCTCTGGCCTCCCGGATGTCCGTCCGTGTAGCCCAGCTTTGTGATCTCTCTCCAAGCAGTTTCTTCTATGCCTGGGGCTTCAGTGACCACCTGTTCATATAAGTGCTGCCTACACTCCTCTCCTGAGCTCCAGTACTCGATATCCGTAGATCTTCTAGACTGTGGTCCTGCAAGGTCCTCTTGGGACTTGACTCAACTCATCGCCCTTCCCCCAAACTCATTCCTGCTCCAGCATTCTTGCCACCCACAGAAGCATCGCCATCTGCTCACACTCGCCCACACTACTGCAGCCTTACCCTAACTAACTAACCTCAGCTTCTGGGTGATGCTTTGTCTTCCCCACAAGCACCATGTGGCAGGACCCCTCACCATGGACCAAGCACTTTTTTTCCAGAAGTCTCTTGAACCTCACGCCTCCTAAACTGCTGCTCTCAACTGGGCCCATCCTTGAGTCTTTCCATCCCTAGTGTCCACTGCGATAACTCTCTTCTCTCCACTGCACTTCCCAGCAAACTATCAGCCTCTAATGTGCACTTGTGGAGATGGTGGAAAAACAGCTCCTGGGCCAGCAGGTTCGGGGTGGAGACTTGAATCTGCACTTCAGCCAGCTCCTAGGTGGGGCTGATGCTGCTGGTACGAGGACCACCCTTTGGTAAAAAGTCTTGAAAGCCCAAGAAGTCCTTTCTGGGACTTGAGCCTCCATGAACTAACCACTTAGAAGTTTCCAGAGCTTGGCCCTTGGGATCACTGGCCAAGGTTGGTGCCTTTGAGGGTCCTGAGAGCACAGCCCTTGGTTATTCTCAGTGAGTCACATGCTATGGCTTGGTGCTTGAAGAGTTTTCCTCCTGTCTACCTGTGTAGTCACTCCATCTCAACCTCCCTCCAGAGCCTATGTAGTCAGGCTGGGGCTCCTTGAGGGGGACCCTGTCATCCCTCTCATGAGGATTTCTTTCAGAGAAAGGTCAAAGAAACTTACCAGGTACTGAGTTCCCAAGTCTGGGCTCTGGAAATGGCGACAGCTCTGGGGAAAGCGGCTCAGGAGAACCTTGATCAGGCTCTGGTACCAGGAGACTGTCATAGACAGGAAGCAGTCCTGGGGGAACGTCCACAGGCATGGATCTGTTGTCCCAGAGCCACCTCTGAGACTCCTGCAACCTTTACCCTGGCTGCTGGTGGCATTCCAAGCACCCATCCCAGCCCCTTACCAGCTGCGGGTCAATGTCCCCAATGGATTTGGCATGGACTGCTTCTAGGAGCTCCTCCAGCTCGGCCAGGGCCAGGCGCCCCCCTAGCCTTAGCCGATCAGGTCCTGGTGGTTCCAGCAAGAAGAGGCGCTTCCAAAGGGTGTCCCGCCGGCAGTGCCCTCCAGCCAGCCGAACCAGCTGAGCCAGCCGCGCCCGTGCCACGCCCACCTCTGCAGCCAGTGGGGGGAAGAGGGGAGCTGGTCCGGGGGCCAGACCGGCCCCGGAGGCCTCCCCAGGGCTACTGGCTGAGCTCCCAGGGGCCTCTGGCTCAGGCGTCAGTCTGGGCGGCTTCCGGAGCCGGCGCATGTCCGCAGTGAGTCTGGGGAACAGCTCTCGTTGGCTGGTGAGCACCACGAAGAACTGCAGCCTAGGGTGGGCAGGGGCAGGAGTGTGACAGTCGGTAGGAGAGACAGGGCAAGGACGGGGGCCCACCGGGCAAGAGCCGCATTCAAGGCATGGGGTCTGCTGACCGAAGAACGTGTCGCTCGGCCTCTCCCTGCTCCTCGAAGGGTGCAGCACAGTGACAGACAAGCAGAGACACGTCGAAGTCGTCCTGGTGACGAAGTCCCTCAGAGTCGAGGTAGGAGCCAGAGCTGAGCAGTGGGGGTGGGGGAGACGTCAAGCCTGGGGTTCCGATGGAGCCAGGCCCACCCTTTCGGCCTAGGAGAACACGGGTCCGCCTGTGGCAAGGACGGCCCCAGCTCCAGCTCCACCTGTCCCCTCCAGCCTTACCTGTGCCACGCCGACACCAGGGCGTACTCGTTGTGCTCCGGGCCTCCTGGCCGGGCCATCCGGAGTGGCTTCATGTGGTAGGAGCTGGCGTGGTCGGCCACGTAGTTGTACAGCTGGTGGGCAGCAATGAGTGGGGTGGGGAGCTCCAGGGTCCCTGCGGGGCGAGTTACAGGAGACACTGAGCCCCAGACAGACACAGTCATCTGGTGGGCTGGAGGACAGCAGTCCCCGAGGCTCTGACTGACGAGCAGACTGAGTCTTTCTGGGGAGCTCCTGTGGGGCATGGAGAGGGGACAGAGCACAGGACCTAAACTTAGGAAACAGACTGGGAGTTACTTAAGACAGAAGGTGAGGACAGGGTCCGGGTGACACAAGGCGACTGATAATACAGAAGAGGAGAGACAGAGACATGGTCTGGCCCCCAGAAGTGGTCCCTTCGGGCCTGGCTTGTGGCCTGTTCTTTTCCAGGTTCACTGGCTTGCCCTTGGGCACTGACCTTGGTAAATGTGGTTGCGGCCGAAGTGGGGCCCATCAGGGTGGTGGGCCAGGAAGTGTCGCAGGAAGGTGGTCAGGTGGTAGCCGTGCCGTAGCACCAAGTGGGCGCCCAGCACGTGCTGATGCACGAGGCGCAGGTGGAAGTCGTAGCTGAATGAGTGCACGTGCATCAGATCCCGCACCCTGTCACACTCCTCTGTGAACAGCATGGAGAGCTGGGGAGGTGGTGGGGGGACCAGGTCAGGAAACGATGGCAGGCTGCCCAGCGCACACCTCACACTTCCCTCCTCCTGCCTGGGAAAACACCACTCACAGTTCACCCAGTCCTGTGGGTCCCTCTGCCAGAAACACTTCTGTGAGAAGCCCTCTTCATTACATTCATCTGTGTTGTAACTTTTGACAGGAAACTGACCATTTTGAGAGATGAACCTTTGAACTCTGTATCTCAGAGTCCACTCAAGTCCAGCAGAGATTTACTCATGCAATAAATACTTGCTGAATGCCTACCAGGTGCCTACCTGGTACTGTTCTAGGTGCTGGGGATACACACCCTTGCCCTCAAGGAGCTTACGGTCTAGCAGTGGGGACAGGATAATAAACATCAGAGTAAATGAATACACAGCACATTAGTAGATTGTTATGGAAAATCAAGTGATAAAGCAGGTGCAGTTTTAAACAGGGTGGGCTGGGTAGGCCAGGTGTGTAATTACTATTAGGTTTTCCTGGTCACTTCTCATCTCTCCAGCTTTATCTTCTCATCAAATTACTTGCTCTTCCCAAGTATATATCACATATTTTCTCTACACTTTTGTACCGGCCATTCTCTTTGCCTAAATGCTGCTCCCACTGACCCCCAAAGCTGACTAACTCCCACTCATTTGTAAAGCTTCATCTGGGATATCCTGTCAAGGCTAGCCCAGGATGGGCCTTCTCTAGTTGATCTGTGAATGAATGAATGAATGAATGAACAAACCACTGAAGGAGGAAGGAAAGGAAGGCAGAGACATGGAGCTGGGCTTCTCTTGGAGGAAATCAGCATTACTGAGAGTGTATTAACAGTTGGATAAGTGAGGCTGGAATGGCAGAATCTACATGAGCAT